TAGGATTATATTCACTCTCAAGGTGCTGAATACCAATCAATAATATCTATCTCGCATGCAAGGCATAAATAGACCGAATAATGATGAAGGTCTCTCGAACTCTATTTGTCGTTTCTGCTTTAGCTAGAAAACGAGGGCGGTTCCGCATATGAGCTCCCCCCGAACTCCAGCAAAATTTTTACTCCTTAGTCAGTGGATAAAGTCCAATAGCTGGTTAGCTGGTGAGGCTTGACCCGGATAGAAAATAATGGTCGAGTTTAAAATTTGAGGAGCTGGCGATGACAGTTTGATTTAAGAATATAGAGGCTACTTACGGGACCTCTAGAGCTTATATTGGTTAAAATATCAATCCTGTTGAAAGTATGTTAAGTCTAGGAGCCACTACGTCTACCACATTCGAATAAGGCACTATAGGCATATCGTCTTTGCTGCTAGTTGAACCATCGCTATCAAACAGATGCACCAATTAGAATAGCATGTTACTGTTTACATAGATAGAACCCATATTGCGAATACCTAGTTAAATGCATACTAGCACTTTCATTATTGGTCTAAGCCACTCACCTAAGGGATATGTAATATATCACGCAAGGCCCCCTCGTTGGGCTGATGGAATTTCATTCTTATATTTTTTTTCTAAAGGGTACTTGATCGCAAAGAAACCATGCCCAGAATTCAACGAAATGATGTCCGGGTCAAAGACATTCGCGGGGCGCTCAACGCGGCAATAGTACGAACAGGGCAGGATTATGAGAACGAATTTCTCCCCGAGGCAAGTTTATTCAAGTTGGTGGATGCCGACACCGTGGCCGCTGTTCTCCAAAGCAACCCCGACGTACGATGTCCGAATCAACAGACCGAAGATCGCGTATTAGCCGAGTATTTTGCCCAAAATGCGCCCAAGGTGTTTGCGGTCCTTGTGAGAACTAGTCTACTACACCATATGGAATACTTGTATCGGAAGCGGGTGCTGGACAAAATGCTGCCTATTAACTTGGTATGGAGAAATTACTCAAAGAACAAGTGGGATGTCAAATCATATGACAAGAGTACAGACGACGAGAAGATCGGTCAAGTTTTTGGCTGCGATGTTGATGCTGGTGCCGGCAACCCCTGGGACGACGAGACGATCGAGCGCTTCTTCGATGGGCAGTGGCCTCTTGTGCCGGCACGATTTGACAAAGATAAATTTAGGTACAACTTTCCGGAACCAATCCGTCTGCCATTCACATGGGTTGGAAATGATGTAGACTATCACTCAAAGACTAGCTGGGTACGGGAAGAGCGCGTTCATGCTGACTACTTTCCGAAGGGCCTGGTAAGGGATATCTTACTCTTTGGATCAAGGAGTAAATTATTATCAGCAGTTATATGGAAACTGACAGGTAGTAGGAGTTTACCGTGCCAATAGACGACCAAAATAGTTTCCGGGTCGCCGTGAAGAAAATTCAGAAGTCAGGCTCTTTCGAAAATGTAGCTAAAGAAGAAGCCGAGATGCTAGAGTTTATTAGAGGACTCAAAAGCAGTCACTTGATTAAAGCTGTCGCCTACTACAACATCAGGCAAGATCACTATTTTATGTTCCCTTGGGCGGAGATGGGGAATCTCTGGGGCTTCTGGGAGAAGACTGAACGCCAGAGCACTTCAGCGAGAGAATACGTTCGCTGGATGGTAACTCAGCTAGCTGGCCTCGCAGGCGCTATCGAAGAACTACATCACCACAACCGCCTTCATGGCGACCTGAAGCCATTAAACATTCTTTGTTTCAGGGCAGAATCGGACCCAGATAAACCGCACCTAGTGATCACGGATGTTGGGGCCGCCGTAGTCCTCGACGAGGAGACCCATGGAGGTCGTAGTAACTTTGGAATCCAGGCGACGACTAGGTATGCAGCTCCAGAACTGACCATCCGTCCCGAGGTGCCCAGATCTAGGCGGTTCGATGTCTGGTCTTTAGGTTGCATTTTTCTCGAATTTGTCTGTTGGGCCATGTACGGCATGGAAAGGCTGTCGCTGCTAAGAGAGCAGGTGGAGGAGTATTACAAGACAACTGAATCCATGGAATCATTCCCAGTCACTCGCCGATGGTTTTTCGGCGCTAGGTCGACAAGACACAGAAAAAAAACTACGCAGCTCCCTTTCGAGGTGAACGAATTGTTTACATCCATGAACCAAGAGTGTCGCTTGTCTAAATTCACTACAATGGGCCAGTTGGTTGATTTGATTCAGCACCAGATGTTGGTGGTCAAGCTTAACTCCCGCGCAGATGCTGGAGAAATTCGGGGTTGGTTAGAAAGCATTCTATAGGAGCTAGCTTAGGAGGAATAAACTAAGCATTTACAACGCTAGTAATAATTCAGGAGCAAGTACGGATCGCATTCTCTCACAGTTGTAATCCCAAAGTATTACGTTACTATGTAGGAAGCAACCTGTTACGGGCCCTTAGATACGGGCAGTGATGTATAGGAAGGTTCTGAATGATTGTTGACGAACGAGGAGCCCTAGCTGCTACCTCTGAATAGCCGGGTATCTATTTACAAGAGGCCTCTTTGTTTGTATCCCAGGGTCGAAGATATGTCGCTATAGGTAGCCCATATCCCAGTCGAGATCGTGACACAAGTCATCGCCCAACGTGAAGGAGACACGCACAAACGTCTTAGCGGGCTATTAAATCAACAATAACAATCAATAATCAATTTCCATAACACTATAGCCAATCGGTAATCCCGCCAGTTTGCCAGCCCTGCCTTGTAACACGTGACACGTCGCATTTTCCCCTGTTGCGTGGCCGGAGTAAAAATGAAACCCTTCTATACAACCAATTTTCAAGAAGGCTGGCTAGATGATTCCAACGACCTATATAAGATACACAGGTTCCATAAGCTGTACTAAGGACAAACTAGAAGGGAAACAGATATAGCTGATACAGTAGAATATTCTCTCTGTATATATAAAGGGGTATTTGTTCGTATTATACATTTCCTTCCATTGCGTTGACACTTTTGAGTCACCCAGACGCCGTAACCGTGGCTTGGCTGGAGGTATATAGATGTCAGGTGATAAAATACCCAGGCACCTATGGTGGCTGTATTCCTAGGTTTTGGGCTATATAAAGGGACCCTAGGTCCCCCTAGAGACCTAGAGGGATAAGAATAAATTGACTACTCTAGTGAGCCCTATATTATACGCTTCTTACTAGCTCCGGTCTCCCTATTCACTTCGTGGAGGAAAGCCCCTGACAATATAGATTCCTACGGCTTCCGTACCTTGGCTCTAGCCTCCCTTGCGGAACCTAGAACTAGCGTGAGGAAACTCTGAATATCTGGTACTTGACAAGTCCATTTGAGGCATCAAGAGTATTACAAATCTTCGCTAAACATACGAGATCTTCCTCTCATATAAATTTAGGAAGCTCAAGTCAACATCCCTAGCTTCACTATTCACCAAATCGTCGTGTCACTGCCATGTGCAGGTACGTTAAATACATCCGACCAGCATGCCAACACATAATTAGAAAGGGGTGGGCGCAGGATCCAGAAAACGAGCGCTGCAAGGGGAATTGTCTTGTGCCGCGCTGGAGACGACCTGCGGTTAGATTCGAGAAAAATGCTGATCTCTGCCGGCATAATTGCACCTCGATCCCTGAGTTCACAAATTCGAACGATAGGCGGGGTTTTATAGCCATACGCTAAGTCTATGGCTCGCTCTGTTAGAATGAATGATTATACTCAGGGTTTAAACCGGTATACTAGCAGTCATTTGGTATGTGAAATGTACCTCGTGATGCTCGTCTCGTGCCTTCTTCTTGCCTAGGTATGCATTATAACATACTCTAACAAGAGTCGGCGGTCACCTCATCTTGAGGAATCTTGTTAAAATTTATTCATTATGAGTTAAGTCTGCTATATTAGGAGCGCAAACATCTGCCCCGTGACGGTTGTTTTCCATGGTATTAAGTCCGACAGAGAAGCTTGGGGGAATAGAATGCCTTAGAATTATCTTTGCCAGGGCAAACTTCGTGATTATGCCATTTCATAAAACACCGCGAGCAACACCTATCCGCCGCTTAACCCCTAGTCGTACAAACCGATATCGCAATCTCTCCCATCTCTCGTAACGTGACGATCATACAAGCTGCGCCCTTCCGTGAATTTACGCGCCGCCCTCGCGCTTGGCGTACTCGTCCTCCATGCGCTCCTCGTACTGCTTGTCGGCGTCCGTGACATCTGTGATACGGTTCTGGGATGATGCGCCGCCGGCCCCCTCGACGCGACGACCGCTTGGTCGCTCAGACGACTCGTAGACGGGCTGCTGGCCTGGAAGCTGGTGCATGCGTTCCGTCGTCGTGCCCGTGTTGTCTGTGTAGCTGCGCTCAGCGTAGGTGGTGTTTTGTGGTGGGCCGCCGTTGGAGGAGGACGAGGAGCTGTAATAGCTGTAAGAGTAGGACTGGGAGTTTGAAGACATCTTGGATGGTGTGGTCTTTTCTTGTACGTAAGTGTTTTCGGGTTGGTTCTAGGTGTAGTTTGGTTTACTGTCAAATTTGTATGGGCTCTATAGTTGTATTGATGTTTGTTTATAATCAATCAGGGAGTAATGTAATGTCGTCAGGAGAGTTTCTTATATAAGGGGGCAGTTTGCCTCTGACGTCATGTGGGATGTCGATGTTTCTGTTGATTGGGTCGATGACGCATGCATGCTCTTACTCAATCATCGATCGACTTAGATCTAAACAATCCCGCATTTGATCTCTACTAGGTAGTTAGTTAGTTAACTGATTGATAAGTTTGTCTAAAAAGGACGCTGTGTTGCAGTTGGCCCCCTCGATTTGCCAGGGTCAGCTCGGTAGGAAGGATTTAAGGGAGCAAAAAGCTAAACCGATATAGTTGCATTACCTAATGCTATTATGATGCTCTAGCCAACTACCAAGGTATGAGACTCGCTAGTTCCAAATAGAACAAACCAAAAAAAAAAACGTCCGAAAGATCAAAACGAGTGAAAATCGACACCGATGAGATTCGAACTCATGCTCCCTAAGGAACGGCCTTAGCAAGGCAGCGCGTTAACCACTCCGCCACAGTGCCGATATTTGGTTGATTGCGATCACGTGATTGAAGTGTCATGTTAAATATGTACTTGTATCGTTCAATTCAACCGTGACTTCGTTGAAAGCAAGGCATCATCTATTAGGCATTTTGGTAAGTTAGTTTTATAATATTCTGTTTAATATTGTACGCCTTCGAATTGAAGCCCTTTATCTCTCTATATGTATTTTGATATTTCGACACTGTTGGGGAGGTATGTAGTTGCGTGGTGCGAGAAAAACGGAATAGGGCGAGCTGCTATTTCATGGACTTTGATCAGCTACTTGTGGTGTAACTAAAGCGGTAATCAAGAGCGGCGAATTAAGAGCCTTCATAATTGGACGCCTCGGACGCTCCGTCTATAACTTTAATTAGCTGCCGGAAGCTTAAACTCGACGCTAATAAATAAGCATACATACCTATATAATATTATAGCTACAGTCCCATACTTAGTGTAAGCATTTAGGAAGACGCCATATTATAAACAAGTATCTACAGCTCAAGGGTATTTAGTACTTGTCACAGAGTGTCTCCGTATGAACCATACTGAAGTTGGTAATTGATGGGGAAGACGATATATTTAGGTGGGTGGGCTGTGATCGACAGGGGGCTTCTGGTCGGAGTGTCGAATTAGGAAATGTTGTCATCGCACTATTTTATTACAACATCGCTGTCCAATGTAAGTGCTTACTAAAAAGTTATCGTAATTCCTTCTTAACTTCGCACTTGAGCATGGTCTGTCGTTAGGGCGAATTTGCGCATTGGAAACTCCCTTAACTCAGTACAATGCCTGGTAGTCATGGGTTTGCCGAATGATCGTACAAGGCAGCCCACCGTGGGTACTGTGGGCTCTTCGGTAGGTAGGGAGGCATAGGGAGGAAGTGAGATGATTAGATCGTGTTTACAGCATACTGGGGTTCGAAAAGCAACCCTTGGCACGCTAACTTGTACATCCTTCAGAGGTGCCATGGTGTCTTGTAATCTCGTTACACCCGAAAGTCTAGTCGTAATCGTGCTCGACATCTTCCCTCTAGTCCTCTTAAGCTTTCCTTTCTCTCATAATAGAATACCCCCTATTCTTCCTCATCAAAACTACCTCTTGAAGGGGTTGGATTTGGGTCTCTTTCTTCCGTGTCCGAATACTCTCCTAGATTACAATGGGTGGCGTCCCTTCAGTCCCGCGCGATCCCTCGCGCAAAGTCCAGGTAATCTGCGCTGGATACCCGCGCACTGGAACCTCGACGATGGCGCTGGCGGTGGAGCAGTTGTTCAACGGGCCTTTCCTGCACGGCGGCACGCAGGTTTTGAACCGTGAGGATGGTATGGAGCTCACTCCTTTTCTCGGCCATGTCCTGTTCCCTTCATTCTCCAGCACCGTTACGTTCACTTTCACCGCAAACAAACAACCAAATAAGCCTCGATTCAGTTTCTCCCCGTCATTGCACTTTAGCAAGCTGACACATGAGGCAGCCTACTGCAAGAAATGGGTGCAAGTCTACGACGCCAGGGCTCGTGGCGATAGGGAGCGTATGATGTCTCTCCTCCGCGAGGTGACGGCGGGCTTCATCGGCGTGGCGGACCTGCCGCCGCTGGACTTCTTGCCGGAGCTCATGGAGCTGTACCCCGAGGCCAAGGTGGTGCTCGTGGAGCGCGACCCCGCGCGCTGGTTCGAGAGCCTCATGGTTGTCTCCCGCGCTTCTACTAAGCCCTGGCTGCCCTACTTCATCTGGGTCGTGCCCGGCTGGCGTTGGTTCCCCTCACTTGTCAGATACTACGCCGAGGGCGCAAAGAAGCTGCTGCGGCAGAAGCCGAAGGAGGAAGTAAGAAGGGGGACTGGTGAGTTTACTTGCCCCTTTTTCTATTATTTGATTTTCTTTTTCTTTCATCCCTCTTACCCCCCTTCAAATGAAATGATAGGGCATTTTCGTGAGAATAAGAATGAGAATGAGAGCGCGATTCGACACAGTGTGAGAGAGGGTGAATAAACTGACTTGCGCTCAGAACTCCTCATCAACTGGAATAACTATGTTAAGGAGACGGTACCGCCCGAGAAACTGCTCGTCATGCAGCTCAAGGACGGCTGGGCTCCGCTGTGCAAATTCCTCGGCGTCCCCGAGCCTGAGGGCCCGCTACCGCGCGCGAACGACACGGAGGCGGCGCTCCAGATCTCCAGGGATGTCACACGTCGGCTGATACAAATCTGGGGCACGGCCTTGGGTACAACGGCTGTTGTCGGATTTGCCGCGTGGCGGGCTTGGAAGATGCGCTGAGGGAGGTGTTTGTGGAATGCTGTAAGAAGAGACGTCATGACATAGGCTAATGATGACTATTGTATGGGATAAGACGATGTGGTTAACCGAAGTAGGTAGGATGGCCACCCCGGTTATTCTCAGTTGCGATTCTATCGAGAGGGACCGATTACCGTGGATGATTGGCACCGGCATCCCAGTTCCAAATCTATTGGTAAGGGCTTGAGTGTCATTTATCTTACGTCGTTGGGCATTTAAACGATAGAGAGTAGGTTGAAAACCGGATACCCCAACCATATTCCGAACAACATTGGCCCTTGGCTTACTGTCGTGTAACACTGTTGGAGTCTTGCATATATGGCCATTAAACCACCAGTATTGTACAACTACCTAATTTACATGACTAAATGATTGTGGTTTCTGGCTATTCTGCTCTTGAAGTAGCCAAGGCTCGGCTCTTACTGGTTTATTACTTAAACAATAAGGTCTCTAGGAGCTATAGAAGCTTTTGCCTAGTAACTGAGGTGTTTTGCACACGAACTAGATACCATGTAAACAATGTCTAATGTCATTAATAGGCGTAACATCATGCCTCGTGGCCGACGAATCGTTAACAGGACTTACCGTCTAATTCTACATATAATAGTTAATCTATATATGTATATATATAACGTGATGTACATTAGCATGCTTGCATATATCTCATTACTACGCCAACCTCATATATTCGTCCTTTAAATCACACTACCGGCCGGCGTAGTCATAAATACCGTCATACACAGTCCCTAACCATCCATACGCAGGACCCGCCCGCGCAACAACACCCAGTCCGCCAGCAGCCCATGCTACAGCCAGGGAGGCAGCCGTAGCATTGATGGCCCACCAGGCACGGCGGCGGCGGCTGCGCGTGGGCTTATCGAAAGTGATTTTCTTCCAATTCGCTGGCGGCGCGAGATCAAGCCACCGGGCCATGCCCCAGACCATATGGCCAGCACTAACAGACAGGAGGAGTGCGTACGCAGCGTATGCAGAGGTTGCGTGCCGCGCGAAGCCGTGGGCGACGTACCCAAGCCCAATATTACTGCTGTCCCCGTCGACGATGAGCGGCAGCACGCGGTTCATGGCGACGTGCGAGGTGAGTAGGGCTGCGAAGGCGTAGCCCGAGCCGGCGATCATGCTGAACGTGGGCCATATTCGGGACGAGGAGGACCGATGTGATGTCGAGGAAGGCGAGATCTTGGACCGTGCCAGTTCCCAGAAGCTGGGGCTTGCGTCTCCGTGGTATCTTCTCTTGTTTTGGCTTCGTCGTAGCAAGCGGATGGTTATGCCGGAGACGACATGGGTGAGGACGGGCAGGGCGACAAGGAGGGGCTCAGTTAGGCGGGTTTGGTAGAGTTCGCGGGTCATAAGGAGGAAGGGCTCGGAGTAGGGCGCGGATTGATAGACGAGGGGTATGAGGGATGTGTTGGCGAAGTGCAGCCCGGCGAAGAAGGTGAATGTGTAGCTTGAGTAGCGTTGGATGCGGGTTACTGTTTTGTCAGAGTCTTGTTAGCATATGTGTGTGTAGTTGGGTCGGGGAACATGTGTGGGAAGGGGTGTGCACGAACGGTAGAATATTGGGCCACGACCGCTGCCGCTGAGTCCCAGAGACGATGTCGAGGTTTGGGTGGGTGATGTTATAGTGGCAGTGGAGGATTCCATCGAGTCTTCGGGTAGTGGTGGTAGCTCTTTTTCGTAGCTGTCTATGGGTGCGGGATCGAGATGCACCATAGAGACCAGAGACTCCAGTGAGTCCTTACGATTCAAAGAACCATAATCGGGCGCCATGGTGACGGCAGCGTCAAATCGACGCCTAGTATACTAGATACTTATTATATGTATGTAGATGAGGATAGCAAATGTCAATATATGTAAGTTGGAAGAAAGTGTGTAGAGTGTAGAGTGTAGAGTACAGAATTACACTGGAGAATGATGATGGCACCTAAAAAAAACCAAAATAGGTAAAGCTCTCTAGACTACGTAGCTTCCCGCTGCCGCTTTTTTTTTATCTGCCCCGCGATTGGATCTCCAAATTCCCCAACCGTCGATCCACTAGGAAGAGTGAGCTAGACTAACCCTGCACCTGTACCTACAGTACCTATCTACTATAGTTGGAGGTGTGCACCAGTGAGGCATCTAATTGGGGTTAGGTTCGATTCCTTTCAGCGCTAAGTGGTCTTCGCCTTTTAGCTCATCTACTATTCGTCTTAACACTACACTGTACAGCATACAGTCCACGAATATACCATACGCCAACATACGACATCACAACTACCTACTCACACTAGCTTCCTACTCGAATACTGCCAAACCTATATCTATCAGCTCATTATCAGAAGACCGAAAGCCTAGCCAAAATGCCTCCAGTAAGCCTACAGTCTCTAGATGCTACTACCGTCACAAGTCAAGTACCATACCGCTAACACCCCATCCTTCAACAGCGTCACCAAACTCTCCCACCGGCACAGACCTCGTCCGCCCGCGCGGCCCTACAGTCCTTCTACTGCGACCTATGCTCCAAGGGCTACTCCCGCATGAACGATTACGAGGCCCACCTGGGCAGCTACGACCACAGCCACCGCCAGCGCATGAAGGACATGAAACAGATGGTTAAGGATCCTACCGCCGGGGCACGCGCGCGTCGCGCAGAAGCCAAAGCCGACGGGCTCATCAGCATCAAGCTCGGCTCCGCGGGCGGCGGCGACGCGAATA